ATGTGTACAGCCACCATTTGTGTTGTTGAAAAAAGTTATTTGCAATGAATAGTTGTTGGTCTTGCAAAATTCTACCATGCGAGTTCCAGCATTATTTTTGTCACCAAGGCCAAATTTTCCAACTACTGGTGATTCTTTTTTGTTTCCAACTTTTGCATTCCAGTCACCAATGATAATTAACACATCCTGATTGCATGTTTGGTCAGTTTCAGACTGCAGAAGTTGATAAAAATCTTCAATTTCCTCATCTTTGGCTATGGTGGTTGGTGAATAAATTGAATAACAGTAGTATTATTGGGTCTTCCTTGGAGATGTATGGATATTATCCTGTCACTGACAACATTATTCTTCAGGACAGATCTTGAAACATCCTTTGTGATGATGAATGTCATGCCATTCCTCTTCAAATTGTCATTCCTGGCATAGTAGATCATATGGTTGTCTGATTCAAAATGGTCAAAAGCAGTCTATTTTAGCCCACTAATGCCTAGGATATCTATCTTTATGCATTCCATTTCATTTTTGACAACTTCCAATTTTCCTAGATTCATACTTCATACATTCCATGTTCCAATTATTAATAAATGTTTGCCACTGTTTCTCAATTTGAGTGGTACCATGTCCACAAATGGAGGTCTTGTAAGCTTTACCTTATCCATGTGAGTAAGGCTAGTTTTACTCTGATGATGCAGCTCTTTCCCAGTTGCATTTTGAGAGCCTTCTAACCTAAGTGATTCATCCTCCTCCTCTGTATGGGACAATGTTTCCAGACTATTCATAAAGTTTCACAGTAATGTATCAGACAGTGGTTCTCTGCTATTCATAAGGTTTTCCCCGGCCAATTCTTTGAGAAGTGGATGGCCTCTTCCTTCTTCCTAGTCTGTCTCAGTCTGCAAGTCAGGCTGATACCTGTGTACCATGTGCACCCCACTGGGTTTGAAACACCAGTGGCACAGCCTCAAGACTCACAGCAACACGTCACCATGGTAGGACAAACTGACAGACAAATTTGTCTCCCTTTGCTGTTCAAAACCTCTCCAACCTCCCCTTACCTGGATCCCTACTGCTGTCTCCTCGCCATGTCCTGGCCCACCTGGCCTTTTTCCTCTCCTTTCCCCTGCTTTCCTGCCTTGCTGCTTATGGGGCCTGGCCTGGGTTCCCTCCCCTTACCTGGATCCCCGTGGCTGACTCCCTGCTCTGTCCCAGTCCCCCTGGCCTTTTTCTGTCCTTTCCCCTGCTTTCCCACCTTGTTGCTTGTGGGGTGTGGCCTGGGTTCCCTCCAGTCACCTGGATCCCTGCAGCTGACTCCTCCAGAGGAAAATGATTAGATTTGAATTTTAGAAAGATCACTCTGGCTTTATTGTGCAGGATAACCTGGGAGTGGGGTGGTGGTGGTAAGCACAGAGTTGAGATGTCCTGTTGGCTACTTCAAAAGGTTGGCCAAGAGATCTGGGCATGGAGAATGAGCATAGGGAGAGTGGAGAGAGAGATCTAATTAGAGAAATATTTAGGAGAGAATCAAAAGACCTTGAAGTTTGCCTTTGTTGGGGCAACTGGGCAGGAGATGAGGGATAAAAGAGTCAAGGATGACTTCAGGGTATTAAACCTGGGCAAGAAAATTTGGCTGGTGGGTCTATTATAAAAATAGTGAATGTTGTTGTTGTTGTTATGTGCCGTCGAGTCGGCCCCGACTCATAGCGACCCCTCCTTGGGTTTCCGAGGCAGTATCACTACGGAAGTAGGATTGCCCAACCTTCCTTCCGAGGAGTGGCTGGTGGGTTTGAACCGCCAGCCATCTGGTTAGCAGGCAAGTGTCTTAGCCACTATGCTACCAGAGCTCCCAAAATAGTGAATATCAGTGTTTATGTTGGGATATATTGATTTTAAGAAGACTGGGCAATCTACTTTGGTAGAGATTCTGCCTCGGAAACCAAAGGAGGGGTCACTATCAGTGGGAGTCAACTCAACAGCAGTGAGTTTTTGAGTTTTTAGGGATAGACAAGTAGGTATCTGGAAAATACAAATGGAGCTTGGGAAAGTTTGAGGTGGAAGTCTTAAAGTAGTCGTTGAAGGAATGGAAATAAATGGAAGACAGAGCAGGTGGAAAATAGAGCACTTGGAGAAGGAGATGATGCCTGTTTTCCGGGCTGTGAAGGACGTGGAGGAAATGCAGGGGCAGCAGTGGTGCAGGAACAGCCCAGGTTAGAGGGAGTCTGCAGAAGCCAAGAGACAACAGAGGCGCTGGTGCTGGAGGAGGATGGCTAGGAGACTAGGAAGTGAGAAGGGCCAACAAGGGTAGTGAGAAAGGAGAGAGGGCTAATCAGAAGGAAAATCTTTTCATGTTTTAGATACACACATGCAAAATGATAGCTGTGCCCTCACCTTTGCATTTATCGCACGTTGGATGGCATCTTTCACAGGTCTGTGTGCTCTGGTCTGCAAAGTAATGCTCTGGGCAGGCGCGGTAACACTCTCCTTCAGAGCGGAGCAGAAAGAAAAAGGTATCACAGGACAGGCAGTCTACAGGCCGTGGGCCCCGGCATGTCTTGCAGCTTTTGTTGCACTTCTCACACCGTCCGGTGGAGTTTTCTGCATAATATCTGAAAACAAGGTGGAAGCAAATAAGGAATATGAAGCTTTGCTCTTAAGTTAGTGTGGTGGAAAAGACATGGTTAGTCAGATAAGAGTCATTTACAAGTTGGTAAATAAGATTCATTACTTAACTTTACTCATTAGATTCACAAATAATCAGAATCATTTATCTACAAACATAATGATGATTCTTGGTTTCCTTACCAGTAGATTGGGCATTACAATACCTCCCCTAATAATTGTGAGGATTAAATTAGATAACACTTAAAAAATGACCTAATAAGTATCACACATAGTAAAATGAAACTAGTTGCAATTGAGTCAGTTCCAACTCAGGGGACGCCAGGTGTTGCAGAACAGAAGTGTGCTCTGTAGAGGTTCCAAGGCTGACACTTTGGAAGCAGATGGCCTAGTCTTTCTTCTGAGGTCCCTCTGGGTGAATCCAAGCTGCCAACTTTCTGTAAGTAGTTGAATACTTAAGACTTTGGTCCACCCAGGGACTGTACCACACTTAGTGGGGAGTCAATAATTGTTAGCTACCTTTGACTTTCTCCTTCCATTTCTTTCTCCACTTTCAAATTTGAACTTCAAGTTGGAATGAACAGAGGACCAGAGAAGTGGAAAGGATTTTAAATATGCACCTGGGTGGTTCTTCCAGTTTTTCAATTTAAAAAGTATTTCAAAATAGGGGGTGATATGAGTGATTTTGACCTTTATACAATAGATATAAAGATTTTTTGGTTAAATATAATAAGAAAAATTACCATTAAGTTTCTATTATATGCCAGATAGTATACTGGGGAATTCATAAACATTATTTCACTTTACTGAACCTAAAAAATGGTACCCTAGACTATGGTAGTTAGGAGCTTGCCCTCTGGAACAAGGCTGCATGGGTTCAAATCCTAGCACTACCATTTATGAGCTATGCCAACTTGGGCAAGTCACTCAATGTCTCTGGGCCTCAGGTTCCTCATCTGTAATATGGGGCTACTATTATTGTCTGGGGGAGCTCTGGTGGCATAGTGTCAAAGGCATTTGATTGCTAACCAAAAGGCTGGAGGTTTAAACCCACCAGGCACTCCTCAGAAGGAAGATTGGGCAATCTACTTCCACAGAGATATCACTCTGGAAACCCAAGGAGGGGTTGCTATGAGTAGGAATCAACTTGATGGCAGTGAGTTTGTTTTGTTTGTACTATTACTCAAAATTATACTAATTAATACCAAGAAAGTGGTTAGAACAGTGCCTGGCATATTGTAAATAATTAATGTACATGAGCAATAATTGTTAATTTTATGATTAATCCATGTATTAATCCACATTATGATTTAGATATTCTTATCCCCATTTTAAGGAGCCCTGGTAGTGCAATGGTTAAACATTTGGCTACTAACCATAAGGTTGGAGGTTTGAACCTACCAGTGGCTCTGTGGGAGAAAAGACTTGGCAATCTGCTCCCACAAAGATTATAGCCTAGGAAACCCTAGAGGCAGTTCCACTGTGTCATATATAGATAGTTCCTGACTTAATAACAGGATTTCATTCTACAACTCCGTCTTAAGTCGGTTCTGACATAAATCAAATACATCATTTATTTTTTTAGTTTTCATTATCATTGCCTTTTATCATCTGTATCTTTATAAATTTAATCTTCATTCAACTTGAGGATTGGAAACATTATATATAAATTTACAGGTATGTTTTAACATTTATGTAGTACATATTACTAATGACACAAAACAAAATAAAAGACAGATGGTGGTAAGTGTGGTTCGTTGTAACTAGAATATGTTGTAAGTTGGCGACAACTTGTAGTCACTATGAGTCAGAATCAACTTGATGACACACCACAACATTCCTATTTCACAGGTAAGAAAACAGACTCAATTTAGACACTTTACTCAAGGCCAGAGAGCTAGTGATGGGAAGCAACGTGATCTAAACTTATCTGTCCTTCACCACTCTACCAAAAACAATATTGCGTTGTTGTTGTTGTTGTTGTTGTTATGTGCCATGGAGTCAGACCTGACTCATAGAGACCCCTCTTTGGGTTTCCTAGGCGGTATCACTACGAAAGCAGATTGCCAAACCTTCCTTCCGAGGAGTGGCTGATGGGTTTGAACCACCAGCCTTCTGGTTAGCAGTCGAGTGCCTTAGGCACTACGTCACCAGAGCTCCTAATATTGCATTAGTTGAAGGTAAATGGAAATTTTCCAAGTGAGAAAATAGTGATTCTTGTCAAAGATGAGTTTCTAGAGGTCATTTGATCATCTCAGCATCTCTGGTGATCAGGACACTGAAATTATCCTAGAAACCTGAAGCTCCATCCATGGTTTCTTTGGTGCAAAACAACAACAGCAGCTTGTTGAAATCTACTACCATCCCCACCCAGGTAATCTGGGTAATGCCTCTGCATAGCCACTGTCATTGATCTTAGTGAGCACAGACTACTCCCAGCTGATGGTAAATAAAGCCTTTTTTACCACTTGCAGTTAGGTGAAGAACTATGACAAATTAATCATTAAGACTCTGGCTATTTGAGAGCAAAGGTGTTGAAAAGAGAACAAAAGAAAGCATCAATAAAAGACCACACGAGACTCAAAAGAGAAAGCAAGAGGGAAATACCGAACAGAGGGATATATGGGGTTAGAGTCAAAAGATCTCATTTTCAGCCTTGGTTCCATCATGTATTATAATTAGCTAAGTGACTTAGGCAATCACTTAACTGCTCTGTGCCTCAGTTTCCTAATCAGTTAAATAGAGAGAATAATTTCAACCTGATAGGACTATAGAATGAAATAGTAATTTGTAAATACATTATGAATGAAAACACTTTGTAAACCAAAAAAAAAACAAACCTCCAAACTCACAGCCATTGAGTTGATTCCAACTCATAGTGAGCCCCAAGGCTGTAAATAAATCTTTATGGAAGCAGATTGCCTTATCTTTCGTCTGTGGAGTTTGAACTGCCAACTTTTTGATTAGCAGCCAAATGCCTTAACCACTACACCACTAGAGCTCCTCTGTAAACTATAAAGCAGCGCACAAAAGTTCTTTTACTAATGTAGTAAGTACAGTTGTTATAAAGACCATAAAGCATCAATAGAAGCCATGGAAAAGAAAGCTTATCAATACCAAAGAGGTTTTTTTTTTTTTTTTTT